TCTGAGGTTAGCTTTTCTTCATTTATAAATTAGGAAAAAAGCTTGTCCTGCCGGATCTTTGCAAATTTTTTGTGAAACTGTAAAATCACATAATAGCTGAGAATGCCTTTTGAAGGGTTAAAAATGTGCTGAGTATTATTATTACTAGAGTTTTACTATTAATATACCTAAGTGCAAATAATATCACCCATGGAAGTAACAAATGAAAGCTACAATGTGGCAACTTGCTAAGCAGTCTTTCTGTTAACACAAGGAGTGTAAATTGTAGTAACGTGTGAGATATTGTTGTTATCCTCAGGGGAAGGTGGAGATAAAATGTGAGAGAAGTGAGTGTGAAGGGCAGGTATATAAAGAGCAAAGAAGGCTCTACACGGCTTGGTGAGCAACATGGTATCTGATGTTCCGTAGTGAGGTGGACTGTATAGAACAAAGTAATCTACAGTGCGAATCACGAGAATAGGGTTCTCCATTTGTGTTTCCTATTGCTGTCTGACCAAGCCTGTCATTGTCGGTCTTTGGTTGTGGAGCAGGAGCGACACTTGCTTCCTAATTCTGCCTCCTCACCCTGCCCACCTCTGCCACCAAGGACTGGGCCTTGCTTGAGGGTAGGCACATTACGGGAGGGAAGCCCAGAAAGCAGAAGCAAGGACTTTGTGAGGCAGCGGCCCTCTCCCCCACTCCATACTTTGGCAGGTTCTACGGACTTTTGCTTCCCTGGGAATACTCTGAGAACTCGTTAGCAGATATCAAGACTGGGCTTGAACTGAATTCCTTTATCTCTTGATTGAATTCCTTCACTGGGCAGGCCTGGTGGGCAAGTCCCTGGGCTGTGGTCTTGGATTTCATACTGGCCCTGGTGTCTGCTCTGGGCTTCCACCTCTCACAGTCTGAAGCAGAACTGCAGGTAGAGAAGAAAGTCATGCTTAGGCCCAGAGGACATAGCCTCAGTGGAACTTTTCAAGGTCCAGCCCTTAAAAAGTTCCCTTGCTATAGGGGTCAGAGGCCCATTTCCTAATTTAGATAATTTCCCAAGACCAGATTCAACCACTTTGTCAGCAGCACTTTTTATTCGGCTTTCTGCTGACCTACAGTTTTCCTCAAGGAAGCAAACAAACTATTTTTCAACTTCATTCCCCTCTTCTGCTCATTCCCCTTCCTTGATGGATTGTCCCAGAGTTCCAACAAAGCTGATTTCAGTAGCCTCTGGGCAAGGTGGCACACTGGCCACACATGTCCCTTTGACCATCTTGACGAAAGAAGACCCAGCTTAGAAGATGCAGGCTCCCTTTTTCACAGAACGTTTTCTTGAGAAATTTTAGAAAAGTGCAGCCCTCATCCCTGAAAGCTATTCTGCAGTGCTGAAGCCTCAGTCACCCAAGCGTTCCCTCTGCATTATGGCCGCGCTCCCAGACTTTCCAAAATGCAACAGTGCACTGAGAGAGACAGTCTGCTGAGGTGTTATTGGTTTGCAATACCCTGATAAGGAGATTTCATTCCCTCCTTGCTGGCAGAGTTATATAGAGTAATTACATAAGTACTGCTATGGCACTGGGCGGAATCTCATTAAAAACTGTATAAAGAACTATTCAGTTGTGGTAGAGAATATTCATTTTATTCCATTGACTATAATCCATATAATAGAGCATTAGCCTGAGCATAAATGCTGGTGTTGCTCTGGCTTCCTGATAAAATGCATTTGGAATATATATTTAGTGCAGCATTTGCTTATGTGAGGCATGATAAAAAGTCGGTATGGGGCAGCTCCAGATTTTCCCACCTCATGAGAAAGCTGCTTGCTATGCTGAGCAGACTGTTGTTTGATCTTACTCCTCCTGGGAGAGCCACTTGGCCAGGTTGGATGGGACACTCTATGGCAGTTTGAACACATGGCAGCTCTGAAACACGCACGCACGCACACTGGAAGAATATTCCCATTAGTAGTTCAGCCTTCCACCCAATATGGGAGAGAGGCCTTTCTAAAATAGAATTTATCATGGGTTATTGTTCTTTTATTTTCAAAGAGATAGTGAGCAAGCCCTTTTTTAGTATAAGGATGTTTTCGGTTGATGGCATGTAAATTATCTCTTCAGCCATACTGAATATCATTCACCACAACAAACAAGAGCCATTCTAAATAGCTTGCTGATATGGCAGCCTAATTCTCAAAAGCATTGAGAAACAATTATATCTAATATATGTATACTACCTTAGTGTGTCTAAGGTACTTTTCCACACATTATGGCATCTGATGTGTGAAGAATTCAATAATCTATGCTTAATTATTTGGAGCACAAACTGTTTAATACTCGAAGTCTAAGAGCACCAGGAATTATTTCATTTATAAATATTTTTATTACAAAAAAAATCACATCACAAACATTTAGAAACTAGAGAAAAGCCCTCTTAACCTCTGCACCTTAATACACTAATATTATTTAGTCTTATTTCCTTCTAGTCTTTTTTCTTATGCATTCTTATACATGAAATCATAATATTAACATTTTCGAAGGCATTTTCCTCTGTAGATTTCCAGACCACCCCACCTGAATTTTATCTGGTCTCATACCTTGTTTAAAAGGAAGATACCAAGATTAATCAACCTCTGTTTATATGAAGGATATTATAGTGAAGATTATATATCCCGTTGTTGAAAGTCAGTGTCACTTTGCCCATAATCAAAGTGCCAAAAAGATGGCAAAGGGGAGCATTCATTCTGTTAAATACCTAATTTCTGTCTCTGGTTATTAAAACAGCTGAGCAAGTCAGCTGGAGAAAACCATTTGAGAATCTTAAGATTGCTGTTGCTGGTAAGGGTGTCCCAGCTGTGCCTTGTTGTTCAAGATCCTTTATCATCTCAGGATGCCAAGTCCCAAGCTGAGCTCACTCTGGGGACTCAGATCTATCAAATGAGAGTGTTTGTCCTCTGCCTGCATCATTTAGGAGCTGTGGATGAAACTGAGGTTAAGAGGCTCAGCTAATGCCTCTCTTGATGTGACCCTGCCCAGAGGAGAGAGAGAGAGTGTGTGTGTGTGTGTCCAATCATGCCTGAGACAGCTGAGAGGGGGGCACAGACTTGTCATCTCCAGGGACCTGTCCTCAGCTTTCATCCTAGCATAGCTCAAGCATGGGTGTTCATCTGTGTGAATGCATGTTTTAAAGGGTGGAGCCAATTTCCTCCCCAGACTAGGACCTGCTTCCTTTGTTCTTGAGAACAGGAGTGGGTTTAGGATTTCAACAAAGGAAGCACATGTCCCTCACTAGTCACATTTTTCCTCCGCTTTCCCTGCTCCAGCATCCTCATCCTGCAGAAGCATGTTTAGCATACAGGCATCTAGACCAGAGATCTGAATGGGCTCCTTTAGAGGCTGCACCAACTGCTGGGCCCTCATCTGGGAGAGCTGAGACCCCCTGAGTGGTATAATCAGAACCTGCAGTATAAGAACCTCCTAGCCTTCCTGCCTACCAAGAGGAAGAAGGAAGCAGTTAGAGAAACTGAGGCATACTTGTGTTGAGCAGCACATCCATCATGATGACCAAGACAAGTTCCAGAACCCCTGGCTGTCTGACAAGTGTCCCCACCCCCACAAGCCATAGAGTCTCCTTTTTTTCCAAGTAAGCAGAGTTCTCTAGAGTGCACTTACTCTCCAAATATGTACATGTCAGGATATGAGAGATCACTTATGTCTGTAATGGATGCCTTGTGTCCAAAGTATTTCCCTGTGTATTGTGCTATTCAATTTAGGACTCCTAATGCATGATTAATGTGTGTTTAAACAGTCATTGCCTAATCGGACTGCTTCACCTTTGGGACACTGGTGAGTACACAAAGCAGACTTACAGAAAACATCACTGGCATGTGTGGAATAATCCAACAACTCTAGCCTTGTACAAGGAGTGAACATTACGAAGCTCATATGGTACCCATCTAAACCTGTGGTTTCCTCTGAGCAGCCTATGACTTCTCAGGTTTTAGAAATTGGTTCCAGTCTCAGTATTCAGTATGCACTCAGTATGTGTTGAGCATATTATCAGCAAAGCTCCATGAGTTCCAGAAAGGGGAATTGTTTGTGGGTCCTACCTGAAGGGAGCTTACAGTCTAGTAGGAAATAGAATATGTTTATGAATAGTTATTGCACTGGGTGAAAAGTTAGGAGAGCCATAAGACTTATTTAGAAGAGGGATGGAAAGTCCATTCTGGAGAGGGACTCATGTGGACAGTGAGTAGATTGCAGTGGATGGGCTGAGCAGAAGGCAGGGAGTAAGGAGCTTGCAGTTACTGCAGGCGTTGTCAGGAGCCTTATGGGGAGATTTGCAAGGCATTCCTTTCTGAGTCATCCACACAGGCACTGAAGTGGTAAGCTCGGGTGCCTGTGGTGCCCCATCTGTGAACCTCATTGAGTTCT